ATATTCTGAAAATTAGATATTTACTTAAGCAGCAAGAGTAGCATTTGGCGTGGACGTTAAGCCTCAATCAAATCGTACATGCAACATATTTAATTTTGCCGTGTTAAAATGTAAGGTGATTTATTCTTTAAGTCTTTTCAGTTTTTCCAAATTTTTAAGGGACTCTTTAAGTAACATAAACTCTGGTTATATGTAATGCTACCTTTTGTAAGCTAGAAGCTCTGTTTAGCAACAATTACATAACAGAAAAAAAGGAAAAAAAAAACAAACAAAAAAAACCATTGGGTTCAATCTACTATAACAGATTAAACATAAAAATAAAATGGGATTTTGAAACATAAAACAGCTAAATATGTATATAAAAGAAAAATAATTCTAGAACCATTAGGTCGTATGAATGTGTAACAAAAATAACAAATAATTCTTGTGTAAGTTTTGTATTTTAAGACATTTATTATGTTTGTAAGAAATTGAACTTGTTTACATGTATAAAATCTTTATATCATGAACAACTACTCTACGTGTCATAATTCAAGTCACGTGATCAGGAATAACAACTGAAAAGTCAAATTCAAACACAAGAGAGAGATACACCTGACCTCGCCTATTTTTTATTTGTTTGGGTCGTCAGACCAAACAAATAATGGTAGCGAAATTTCAGAGTCTAATGCTGTTAATTGCAAATGCCGAAAGTAGTCCACTTTTTTGAAGCGGTTACTTCCCTTTATATGTACACTAACGCCGAAAAATTCAGGGGAGATCACTGCGTAAAGATGGTCAAAGACAGACTCATTAATTTTCAAGCAAAATAATTCCCGAATGGTCGAAGATTTCTAATATTGTTTTATTGTATTTTCTGATAGAAATTAAGTAAATACAAAGCGGACATTCAATCTCTGACACAGAAGTTTACGACAAACCTAACAACAAGTAGTTCTCAAAACAGCTTAAAACTAGCGATTTAAAAGAAAGAAATATTTTTATTTTGTTACAAGTATCCAACAAATTACAACGCATTCAAAGTTTAAAAATAGCGTTGGCTTATAGAATTGTCAATAAATGCACAATCACAAATTACGCGGATGAATATGATTTTATCAATGAAAATACTATTTTTAGCGATGGCGTTACCGAATACTACACAAACCGAGTAGCGGAATATATAGATTCTACATGTCGGACTGTTTGGGTGAGAAGATTTTCGCTAAATTATTTACTTCAATTTTAAACAACAGGTTTATCCTGAACAAAATACCTCGAAATTAATAAGGATTACAAACCCGAAATGCAATGGAAGTTCTAAATTTAGAATGACTTGATGTTATTCAGCACTTGTTTGTATAACTTCTCCGTGGTGCAGGGGTAACGCGCTCGCTTAGTGAGTGAGAGGTCTGAAGTTCAAATCCCAGTCGAGGAAACTTTTTTTTTTTAATTCTTTTTTAAGTGTCTTTGTTAAGGAAGTAGCCATGATATGTAATGGATACAGTACGAGTTTTCTTCAAAAGTGTCTTCTTACAGACGTAAGAAGACAGTTTGCTAGGATAAACAACAAATTGTCCGAGGCGAAGCCGAGGATAAATTGTTGTTTGTCCTAGCGGACTGTCTTCTTCACGTCTGTAAGAAGACACTTTTGAAGAAAAATCCGACTTATACGACATTTAAGTGTTAAGAACAGATAAATTAATAAACCATTTAATTATAAATAGATCTAAATGAAATTAAATGTATGTTCACGTTGAAAATAAAAAAAAACTGTAGAAAATATTTGCATGGCCTTTTAGCTTTTGTAAGCAAATTGTATTCGCACGGAATTTTCTTGCACTAATTTTAATTGGACAGAATTCACTTTCATTCATGATAAACACCGTAAAAATGGCTGCCTTTATGAGAGAGATATTTTATGTCATTCAACATTGAAACCGTCTCTGAACATGGTTTGCGTCAATGATATATGGATAACGTTTTGGACCCCAAATTTGGTAAGTTTCCTTATTCACAATAATCCTTAACGCAATAATTAGCTGTATATGGCCGACTATTTGTGTGTGTGTGTGGCGGGGGGGGGGGGCTGGGACAGTAAATGTTAGTTTTGACAATGCTGAAATTAACAGTTACAATGTTCTTGGAAATGGCCATCAAATTTATTTGATTCATTTCTCGATGAACTGAATTTACTCATGAGTTGCGCTATCTGGTTCGCTACAGTTTTCCGTCAGTTTCTATGGTGTCCTGTTTGAGGCAGTTAAAATATCGCCTGTTACAATTTAAAATTTACTAAATCTCTTGTTTTAGCTCGACTACTCACAAAATAGAGAGCTATTGTAATTGTGAATTCTTACAGAACTACGGCAATTTTTGAAGATAAAAAAAAATCTACATTATTCAGGCTCTTGTTTTACTATCAAGCACTGAGACTAAGTTATGTGCGGTTAAGGACTGATTTTTCAGTATTCACAACTGTATTTCTATTTGTTTGATTCGGATATCCGGATGGCCGTTTCGGCTCCAGATGACATCCCTAATTTCTATTGCGTTACTAACGCAGTAAGGCATATCTATGCATATTTTGACCACTTTCTGGTTATTTACGTGGGCTGTAAGTGCCATTGATAATGTGTAAATCGCTCCCTTTATATTAAACATTCAAACACATTTTCAAAATTTTCATGAAAAGTAGCATGGATCTGGAGGCGTGCTGCTTTAATCATCGCGAAGACTTTTACATTTTGATTCGCACCAGGATTTAAGTATGTGAAAGTATAAGCATGAGACAAATTCAACGTTGTATAGCGCGAAAAGTTTCTTCAGTTGCGAGAATGTAAAATAATGCCACTTTAGGGTAAGACTTTAGAAAAAAATAGCATGTCAATAGGAGACCTTCAACTGGCCCAAGCAGGACACCGTATATTTCAACTGTATTTAATCCACGTGGAAAGTAACGGTTATTTAAAAGTGTCTTCTTACAGACGTGAGAAGACACTTTTTGAATAGCTCTGCTGGGGGTATAGTCGTTTAAGCAAGGACAAAGTGTGGCTGTCGTAAAAAATAAACATAAATTTTAAACATGATTTTTTGATGCAACTCTAGTTATGCAGAATTCCGTATGTATCAAACTCTGGTGCCTTGCAAATTGAATTATAATACATAAAAATAAACTTATACAGGAAAATACATACAGATATACAGTACGATTTAGATTGCAAAGATCAGAAAATACCACAGAACTTGCAGCCCTTTTATTCTTTAAAAATATACATGCTTTTAGTAAGCTCCAGGATTATTTACATCTGTGTTAAACAACAGTTAAAGTCGTTACAAGCCCTAATTTAGAATACTATGGTTTTCTTCAGGCCGTTTTCATATAAATTCACCGTGGCTGAAGGGTTTTTGCGCTCGCTTAGGAAGCGAGAGGTCTGGAGTTCAAATCCCAGTAAAGGCAACTCATTTTTTTTCAATTTGTTTAAGTCAAATAAACATTGGATTGAATATCAGTATTGCAATTAGTCTTATAGCCAATTTACTACAATTAAAACGCTGGAAAGCATTGGTGGCACAATACATATAATCTCACAACCTGTACCTTTCTTACATTCTGAGACCCAAACAAATTCAGCGCCTTCTGTGCTTTGATTTTTTACGTTGGCATTGTTTTGCTAACCTAGATATTTTATAATTCAGAGTGCAAACCACACCTCTAACTCCTCCCTAATATAATGCATTAATGAAATTTGTTAGACTTGTTAGACGACAGATTAAGTAAGTTTTATTTAGTTAGTACACATTGACCAAAGTTAAACTTAGCAGAAATTTGAAAAATACTACAATGTGATTGGACAAAAAATAATGTTGATAATTAACAGGAAGATGTGGTTAACCATGTGCCTACACGTTGTAACGAAATCTGTAATCCGCCTTAGATTAGATCTGGTGCACCCATAAAATCGATTTCACATCTTTTCCTATACTCATTCATTAATACTGTTCACCAAATAAGTACGACAGTTGTCTGGAAAATATTCGGAAATAAAGAATTATGTGTTATTATGCGGGATTGTACATCACGCCACAGACAACAAGTCACATGCTCGGAAAATGTTGCTTACATTGCCATGATAGATAATAATTTGTATTCATGGACACCGTCCTTAAGCTATATTTTAGGCACTTGATAGGTATAAATGTAAATACTGAGTAAGGTTTCTCGTTAGATATGCCCTGTTACATTTCGTTGGCATGTTTTAGATACACACGTATGAGAATTTATTTTTTATTGTGATCCTTGATTTGAGAGTTTATGTAAAGATAAATCATACATATAAAATTACATATGAAATTACAATGGGATATATTTAATTGTTAAATTAAACATCCTTATTAAGTTTTAAATGTTAAGTTCTACTTAAGCCGGTGCTGGAAGGGTGGGTTTGACCATAACTTGCATTTACCACTGCCGTTCAGGAGCAAACTTAATCAAACCAAGACTGAAGCTTTTTTAATGTGTTCGTACACACCCTGTTGTTTACACCCAAAGTTGTATTAACATCCAAGGTGCTATTATGTTAGGTATTGTTCTAGTTTATGATTTTCAATCCATTAATATTTAAGGGCATGTGATTACAGATTTTAAAATTAAATGACATTTTTTTAATTCAATTTCATGCTCGCTAATGTGAGTCTGAAGATATGTTAAGTAGCAATATCATAAGAAGAAGTAAAGAAGAAGAAGAAAAAGAAGAAGTAATAAACAAGAAGTAAAGAAGAAGTAAAGACGAAGAAGAAAAAGTAATAAAGAAGTAAAGAAGAAGTAAAGAAGGAGAAAAAGGAGAAGTAAAGACGAAGTAAAGAAGCAGAAGAAAAAGAAGAAAAGAAGAAGTAAAGAAGAAGTAAAGAAAACAAAATAAAGCCGTAGAAGAAGTAACGAAGAAGACGTGAGGAAGAAGAAGTAAAGAAGAAGAACAACAACATCAATAACAATAAAGTAAAGAAAAACAAACAAAAACTGACTTTTTAATTTCTTTTTTTAAACAAATTAACAAAAAAAAAGCATTGCATTTTGGTATACATAAGAACATTAATCATTCCAAAAGGAATGCAATAACAATACGAGGTAGTTATTAACAATTATTGTCTCCTCTAGTGCGGTGACAAAAATAATACATATATCACGTTCCCAGTAATTAGATGTTGTTGACAAGTATAAATCTTCATAAACAACCAGTCTACGTGTCCGAAGTCAAGTCACGTGATCAAGACAAGCAACAACACGGACATAAATGACATTTCACATTAGTCAATCCCATTTTAATGACTGGACTTGATAATGATGCGCAAATGACATAAATTTATTCATTTATGAAATTCTTAATGCTCCCTCTCTCTTATCACATTTGTCAAAATATATCACAGTTAAGAGTTTTACGGGGTTGGATGAGTATTGCGTGGGGGGGGGGGGGGGGTAAGCCTAACTTTGGAATCTGCTTCCTTTTGTTCCAATCCCTATACAATTCAAACACATTTCGAATTTCAAATTACGTCTCAAGCTAAAAATCTGTTGAGTTTAGTCTAAAACAACACTAAACAACACTTAAAACTTAATATTAAACAACACTTAAAACTTAATTTACTGGCACTTAAGCACTTTGTTTTCTATATTTAATATTGGATACTGATCGCTCACATAATTTCTAAACGTATCATAAAACGATAACACAAATTCTTCCGCTTCTGTCAAATGTTTCGAATTTGTCAGTAAAAGACAAGTGGTGTCTGTTTCTTCATCTATAATACTATCTTCTCCCATATTACACCAGGATTCCATGTCATGATTAGAGTCAGTTTGAATATCACCAAGTTCTTTGCTATTGTTCAAAAGTTTACTGCAGTTGTCTACCTGATGATAGAAGAAGATAAAATTAGGTATTATTTCATTAATTTCAGACATTTGTTTCCAGGTCAATGCAAAATTACATTCACTTAACGTTACATGTAAAGTGTTTAAAGCTTACATGATGTAAAACAAACTTTTATATTGTGATTAAAATGATTACATGATACCTGGAATGAAAGAAATTTGTGGGAATATTTTATTGAAAGCGAGTTGGGCATGCATGAAATCATCGCCAAACCGGCTAAATATTTTGTTCGGGAACGTTGATATTCTTTTTACGTACAACATTCATGTTTATTCAATAACATAAATATTCTATGTTACAAATCTTCTAACAAACGATCATAATGTTATGTAAACTCTTTAACCTTTTTTTAAATTTTCATGAAATATTTCATCAAATGTAGCTTTATATACACTTTAGGTATTTTTTATATTTTAGAAAAACATCTATGCAATTGCTGTTATAAAACAAATAAGTACTAATAGATTTTAAACTACGTATACCAATACAAAATTAATTTTAAAAACCCCACATAAATCAACATATAAAGAATATATACATGTATAATAATTATAAATTGTAAAATGTTATAATACCTTAATCACTTTTATATTGTGCTCTGTAAAAAAAGCCTCCAATAATTTCATCTGCATAGTTTCAACAATCTTAGTTTCAACAATGCACATCATTACAACAGAATGGGAAAATCTGCAAATTAAAGACATAATATATTTCATATCATCATTTAAATACTTGCGCTGGAGAGGCCATCCAACCAATATAGGGAACATCTATGAAACCTAACCGGCCCCTATCAGTGACTGATGTTGGCTGCCGGATTTGATTATCTATATGTTTAAAGCAACCCACATTTCAGCAAGATAATTTCTGAAGTTCTTAATGCACACTTTGGATTATATGTACAATAAAATTAAATCATCCACTTTTAAGAACTTCGTCCAACAAAAATCAATGTCTTCTTTTTCTTTTTTTTTTTTTAAATAAAGAGAAATTTTAAATCATTGACCACCATGATTAGATTAGGTAACAATGAAACAGAAAAAAAATGTTTACATGATAAAATTTAAGTTTATTTTTGCACTCAGTTCCTGCCTATTACACATGCGAGAGGGGTTGGCAGTATTCAGAGATGGCATTCAGATATGGTATTCCGAGATAAATGAAAATTTACCTTTCTAAGACAGATGCCATTTGGGTGATCCCAGCCACTAACCTTCCTTCTTGTCTAGCATTCGATACCACGTTCTGTAATGCCTCGCCAACTTTCATTGGGCTTTCTCTGAAGTGACAAATGATTACAATTTACATGTGTAATATAACTCTATATAGTATGATCATCGTACTTCCTATTTGTGTTTATTAGGAAGAGATATTTTTATTTAAACATGTTATCTAAATATATACACTTGCTTAACTTCCTCATTTATATCGAATTATTACAATGTAAATAAATTGTATGCATTATAAGTTTAAAGATAGTATGTATACATAGTTACATTGTCAAACGATCTGTTTCTATATTAAGATGTATTTGTTAATTTAATACTCGGTTGTTTGATCAAGAAAACAATAAGACTGAATCTGACTTAATTTTTTTTTTCGAAAATACGACGGGATGACTTAAGCAGAAACAATGGCCATGTATTTATACATGTATACACGTGCGTGAAATGTATAATGCATGATGAGAAATAGGATATTTAAACAAAAGTCTATCATATCATGTTACATTTATAACACTAACGACATCAGCTATACATGATATAGTAACAATAGTGAGATGGCTAGTTATTTATGACACAATTAGCAAAATTTTATCAACAACAATACGCGCACGTGTGTCGAGTCTTTGTTTATAGATACATAAAACAATAGCAGTACCTCCGACACGTCTTGAAATCCCCAAAACTTCTGTTACATAGTTCCATTACCATTTTAAAACCTTTATAATTAATGTATCGTCAAAATATTTCTCCGTTTCCTTTCTCGTTGATGTTTTTCGTTGTAATAAAACGAAAACGTTCTTGTTTACGAGTAAAACGTTCTATTTATATACACATATTGATTAGCCATATATTGGGCGGAGTTATAGCTGAAAAGAATCATTCTGATTGGACAATTTCGTGAACTCGTTCCTATTTTCGTACAAACTATAAATAGAATGTGAAAACGTAGAATATACGCTCTAGTTAACCCATTAGTAAACATTTACTTAAACATTATTGTGCAATGCAGACATTTTAACGACGAAAGGATGAAATTATGTGCGTTAGAAGGCATGTACACACAACTTTGTGATACAGTCACTGTCAATATGAAAATCAATTAACAAGTTGTCTGTCGGAAACCTTTAAATAAATGAAGAAAATATCGCAATAGAATTGTCTAATTGTATAAACGTAATTATTTTTTGTACTGTTAAATCATCTGTATGAAAGAGCAGGAAAGTTTTATTTTTTTATCTGTATTTTAAAGATCTAAACCCCGCTTTATCTTGAATATAAGTGTAGCCAGTCTTATTGAATTTTTATGAATATATTGGTTCAAACTTTCAAAAAACAGTTAAAGTGAAAAAAATTTATAAGGTTTTTTTTTCGCATGTAGTTTGATATACTGGCCTGAAATTAAAGCAAGTATTTGAAGGGGATTACTTTCAAAATATAAAGTGTTTGTAATACTATTCACTACACACACAAAAATGCTCAAGATTATGTAAAAACAATAGAAGGAAGAAAATAATTCATTTAGAAATAAAAAAAATTGTATACCAAGTATTATTATTACCTGATACCTTATATAAATGAAATTTGTTATTATTTACTGTTTTCTGAAATTCTAAAAACGTCAACGTTCGCGAACTGTTGACCGGTCAATAGTTTCGACTGTTTCCCTCTCGTGCTCTAACGTCATTGACGTCATAGAGGATTCCCACTTGAAGCGTCCATCGATCTTGATCACGAACCAGACGTGACGTGACATAGTTAAAATATTAAGTTTAATTATTAACATATGTGCAAAACTATTTTCTTGTTCCTTTTTTTCTTCTGCAAATACTGTTAAAACAGTAGTTGATCAGGTAATAAAACAGTTATTTCATGCGTGATTTTGGGAACAGTCAAACAGTTGTCCCTCGGTGTCGGGGTTAGTGTTTTGAACTGTTGCCCTCGGCCTACGGCCTTGGGCAACAGTTCAAAACACTATCCCCGACACCTCGGGCCAACAGTTTGACTGTTCCCAAATCAAGCATGAAATAACTGTATACTGTTTAACTGAAGGAAAAATGGAATTATAAGTTACTATTGCACAAAAATATATCAATCAGTTAGAAGTCACCCTTTAAAATACTTTAAGCTGCGGTCTCACTTACTCCCGGCAGAGCCCAGGACCATCCCGGTAAGTTAACCCAGGGTGATAGCCTTAGGGTACGCAGTTAAGCTCACATAACCCACGGCGATAGATCTTTTTGAGCGTTCTTATTGCAAGTAAACCCACACTGATAGCCTCAGGGTACGCAATAAAGCTCACAAATCCACGGTGAAAGGCCTTTCTTGTGGTTCTTATTGTAAGTAAACCGACGGTAATAGCCTCAGGGAAAGCAGTAAAGCTCACAGAACTAACAGTGATAGGCCGTTTAGAGCTTTCTTATCACAAGTGAACCTGTGGTTAGTGCCTAAGGAAACGAAGTTAAGCTCACACAAACTACGGTGATAGACTTTTCCAAGTGTTCTTATCGCAAGTTAATCCGAAGTGGTAGGCCTCATGGAACGAAGTTAAGCTCACACAAACCAAGGTCATAGGTCTTTAAGAGGGTTTTTATCCAAAGTTAAACCTCATTGAACGCAATAAAAGCTCGCATAACCCATCGTTATATGCCTTTTAGGGTTCTCATTGCAAGTTACCCCACGTGACAGCTTCAAAGAATGCATTAAAGCTCGCAAAACCCTCTTATAGAGCTTTCTTTTTGCAAATCAATCAACGGCGACAGCCCCAGGGACCGAAGTAAAACTCACACACATGTGTATGGGAAGTAGGCAGTGGCAGTAGCAGCAGTAGTAAACCTGGAGTTAGCAGTTGCACAGCAGTAGCAAAATTTTAAAACGTGAAATAGCACAGCAGTAGTAATTGGCAAGTTATAAAACGTGAAATTGGCAATAGCAATAGCACAGCAGTAGCAGTAACGCAAGAAAAATATTTTCAAACAACTTTATATTATGGTTTCGTGGATATCCGTGATGACAATCGGAACATCCTCGATTAGGCTATTAGTCCTTAATTATCCGAAGAGTGATGGAAAGGGCCGATTTGCGATATAGAAAATGTTATTTCAAGGTAACCATTTACGGCTGTGCAGTACATTTCTAAAATAATTGATTAACACATGTTTTGAAATGGTAGAAACAAGAACAACATAATAAATAGGTATTTAATAACAACACCTTATCACATAAACACATCATAATGACCACATCATAATGACCACATTCAATATTCAATTAAAGGTTTCAAAATGAGCAAAGAATTTATGTTATTAGCTATGAAAAGAGAGACTAGCCATAAAGTACTATTTATTCATTAAGAGTGAGAAGAAATTATCTTTTAAATAAAAGTGATATAGTGAGTTAGAAGAAATCACACTTTTCCATTAAATTAAAAAAAATCACTACACTTTCCAATGTAAGAATGCAGCATGTAGTAACCATTTTAAAGGTTTAATGAACGAATTTACTTGCTGATATATAGAGGCTGCAATTTACAATGTAAGAACGCAGGGTGTATTTTTGGCAGCGATTATCTTCCATTAACAGAGTTGGTTACAGCAATATCAGAACTGCGGTTCTATAAAAAAGACTTTTCTAATATGTTTTTATTGCATTTAACAGTCCTATTTATTTACTTTCAGTATTCGTTTATGACTAGTCCTTTACCAAAGCCCCTCGAGCAAGTACACGAATGTCAGCCATTGTAAAACACTATAGACCTAAAAGCTACATTAACTATTTAGGTGTGAAAATTCAATTGTATTGCTCAATTTTTTGTTTACTAATGTGATAATGTATATAGGGACTACAAAATAGTTATAAATCAGAGCGGGCGCTGTGGTGCAGTGGTAACACTGTCTGACTACAAGTCTAGGGGTTGCGAGTTCGATCCCCCGCTACTCCACTAAAAATACTAACAACAACAATAATAAAAATGACTCTTGTAATGTAACTTAATTCACACAATTCATAGCTTTCACATCACATCACGGAACTAACGGAGCACAATTCACGCAGACAGGACACTACTCACACACTGACAGACAAGACACTAGTCACACTGACAGACAGGACACTACTCACACACTCACAGACAGGACACTACTCGCACACTCACAGACAGGACACTACTCGCACACTGACACACAGGAACAGACAGGATACTACTCACACACTAACAGACAGGACACTACTCACACTGACAGACAGGACACTACTCACACTGACAGACAGGACACTACTCACACTGACAGACAGGACACTACTCACACTGACAGACAGGACACTACTCACACACTGACAGACAGGAACCCTACTCACACTGACAGACCAGGACACTACTCACACACTCACAGACAGGACCCTACTCACACTGACAGACAGGACACTACTCACACACTCACAGACAGGGCACTACTCACACTGACAGACAGGACACTACTCACACACCTCACAGACAGGCCACTACTCACACTGACAGACAGGACACTACTCACACACTCACAGACAGGCCACTACTCACACTGACAGACAGGACACTACTAACACACTCACAGACAGGACCCTACTCACACTGACAGACAGGACACTACTTACACACTCACAGACAGGGCACTACTCGCACACTGACACACAAGAACAGACAGGATACTACTCACACACTGACAGACAGGACACTACTCACACTGACAGACATGACACTACTCACACACTGACAAACAGGCCACTACTCACACACTGACAGACATAAACACTACTCACAACATAAGAGAGACAAAGGCACCTACTGACACACCAGGGAACGACTCACACACTTGACAGAACAGAACACTACTCACACTCCTGAACAGACAGAACACTACTCACACATTAGAGACTGGACCTACTCACACAATTGAACACCAGGAAACGACTCACACACTTACACACAGGAAACGACTCACACACTGACAGAAAGAACACTACTCACACATTGAGAGACAGGACACTACTCACGTAATGACACACAGGAAACATCCTACACACTGACAAACAAGACACTACTCGCACACTGACAGACAGGACACTTCTCACACACTGACACACAGGAATAGACAGGACACTACTCACACTGACAGACAGGACACTACTCGCACACTGACAGACAGGAACACTTCTCACACACTGACACACAGGAATAGACAGGACACTTCTCACACATGAGAGACAAGACACTACTCACACATTGACACACAGGAAACGACTCACACACTGACAGACAGAACACTACTCACACTCTGACAGACAGGAAACGACTCACACTCTGACAGACAGAACACTACTCACACTCTGACAGACAGGACACTTCTCACACACTGACACACAGGAATAGACAGGACACTTATCACACATTGAGAGACATAGACTGACAGTCAGGAAACGTCTGACACAATAACACACAGGGACAGTAGTCTAACACCTACCAACAGAACAATACTCACACACTACACTACGCGACACACTTGACGCTTCAGACACACGGTAAAAGACTATCACAATAACATACACAGCATAGAACGCACACACAAAACTGTACTTACACACTGTAAACTATTTAAACACAGACATACTAATAACACACATTGATACATATGGCACAACTGATACACAGTAAACGACTGACACAATACACACAGTACACGACTCACATAATGACACACACAGCATACGACTGACACACATAGCACTCCTCAAACATAAGAAATGACACGCACCAACACACAGGACACAACTCAAACAATAACATACAGACACCCAAAGCACGCATGGCACCCCACAAAAAACGTACACACAAACACATAGGGTGCTACTGCAAATTTATGCAAATGACTATTTTAACAAACGAGGTTCTATGAAGCACTATGAAAATAGAAGGTGACTATGACAGAATTTGATATAGTATCGACATTTGTTCTTCTATGAAAATTAACACTCTTTATTTTGAAGAAATACAGCGTTTTCATTGGATGAAAAATAAAGTTGGACACTAATTCCAAGAGATGCATGTTTTGTAACTTAAGGCAGTTAACCATTTTCTATATTTCAAACACAGTGAGACATTTGTCAATTCACACATCACTCATGCAATAGTTCCTTTATCAGGTATGCATGTATAACCCATGTATTAACACAAAATAGACAATTGTCCTCTACCTATTGTCCATATCACCTTATTTTCAGCAGAATTCAACAGTTTTACATGAAAGTAGTAAAATTTTGCATAGATATGCGAAGTACATGCACACGTCCTGCCCAGGAATGACTTGTTCGGTCAATTGTCGATCGTTTCTAGATTTATTTATTGAATCACATCCTTTATTCCAAAGTTTCACTATAGGACGATTACAGAATGCACAGCCATCCGTCTCAGTCTGGAAAAAACAATATGTTATTGGCTTATTGCTTTTTACATGATAGTAAATGAAAAGAAGAGTGATCAACGTGAAAAATGCAAACAAATAGGAATATGATTTTTGTGGAAATTTCTCAGCATAAATTGAAGCTACAGTGGTAATTCATACTCGTAGCTGTGTGACTGATTAGTTCGTAAAATGTACAATTAAAGCAGCATGCCCAGAAACATGCTAAATTTTCATGAAAATTTTGAAAAGGTATCAAAATGTAAAACATTGTTAAGTTCACTTACAAAGTGATCTACACAGTGCAATTAGCAATGCAAATGCATGCTATTTACCAGATGTCAAAATATGCAAATTAGCCCTTATTGCGTAATTAACGCAGTAGAGATATTGGGACAAAAACAGCAGAAATCAGTCATTATTCACATGTAAATTATTACTTAAATGTGTTAATTTACTTTTCTTATAATTTTGGAACATTTTTTTCAACTTTGACCTAAAAAATATATATATGTGCTCAGCTGGAGACATGAAATCACAATTAACTATTTACTTTATAACAAAATATGACAATGCTGTATTTATCCTGCAGATGTGATTTTTACAAAAAAGTTTCTTTAGTATTAGAACAATTTAGTGCTCAATGCATGTGATATGCGTAGGTTTATTTAGAATAAAGTATCGTTTATTTTAATAGAAATTCAGTCTTGACAACAGACTTCAAAACAAAATGTGCATACAGAAAGTGCACTAAAACAGATTTACCTTATCATTTTATAAAAATAAACATATATGTGACTTACCCAAGTTGAAATCCCGATGAATCATCGATGAATCGTGTTGTGAGTGTCTATAGGGAACTTTTGTTTAGATTTTCAAACATAAGCCGCCATTAACTTTATGACGTCATTTTACCTCAAACTCCGATTAGTACTGACTATGGCACGCCATGGACGTCCTAAGAAATCACAACTTTTTTAAGTTTTTAAAACCAATTTTATTTTGTTTTGCCAATGAGTGCAACGTGCAACTTTTTTGTATTGGACATTCAGACAATATACTTTTGTGTGGTATAACAAAAGATTTTGTTGCAGTTAGTCCGAGTGGATGCTTTTCTTGTACTGGACTATACGCTGATAGGCCTTTCTTGTGGTTCTTATCGCAAGTAAACCGACGGTGATAGCCTCAAGGAACGCAGTAAAGCTCACAGAACTAACAGTGAAAGGCCTTTTAGAGCTTTCTTATCACTTGCGAACCCCGAGGAATGAAGTTAAGCTCACACAACCTACGGTGATAGGCCTTTCCTAGGGTTCTTATCGCAAGTTAACCCGAAGTGGTAGCCTTAGATTACGCAGTAATGTAAAGTTCACACAAACCAGGGTCATAGGTCTTAAGGGGTGTGTATCACAAGTTAAGTCACGGTGATAGCCTCATTGAACGCATAAAAGCTCACAAAACCCATCGTTATAGACTTTTACAGGTTTCTCTTCGCAAGTTAACCCCGGGAAAGCAGTAAAGTTCACATAACCATCGTTTAACGGCCTATCAGTGGGTTCTTATGGCAAGTTAACACAAGTTGATATCCTCTAGAACGCTGTAATCTCAAACAACCGACAGTCATAGACCTTTTAGAGGGTTCTTATTGCAAGTTATTTGCATTTGTTTTTACACAGCGTTTGAAATGTTTCATTGTTTTAACCTGTGAAAATACTGTTAAACAATTTCTTTTTTTTGAATTATTGATTTAGCAATTTGACATTATGATGACTTTGTTGTTTTTTTTTTTTTTAATTTTCGATTTACAACTAGTTTATCAAGTCATTTAATATACCATTTTTTGTTTCTTCTTCGATTTTCGCTTGCATTTTTTGAAAAACGATGTTAGCAATTTTAATCTTTATAATAACTTCTGGCTGCTTCACTGTCAACTTCACAGCAGAACATAAAAGATTTTGAAAAGTCAAGCCATGATAACATCTGTCAGGGTTTATATGACTTAAAATGAGTGATATAAGAGTGGTTACGTACGTAATTCTTTCAGAATTAAACAAACCTCTCACGTATGTAATGTTTTTGGAATCAAACATTTTATTTTTTCGCCGATTTATCAGATACAGAATTATTTTGCATATTGGTTCACTGTTTTTCAATACATTCCTTTGTTAAATTATATTTGTGCTCAGCATTATAAAAAAAGAAACACAAAACATGTACATAATATAAGGGAAAAAACAAGATTGCACTGAGTATATGTTTATTGTAATATCACATAATTATGCCAATGAACACTTTTACTCGTTATAAAGTAATGTGAATGTGTAGATGAACAAAGCAAATGTATTAAAAACAGATTGCTGAAATATAAGCTCAAAAGACATTGAATTACCGGCACAGCCGTTTTAGAGAAAGTAGCTTTAGATGTGACTAATTGTATTGGCTTACAGTCAAGTAACCAGTTCCGGTACAGGGCTAGTTCCTGTTTCTTCAATGCCGTTTTCATTGATCATCTCTGACATTTATTTTTTTGTTGTTGATATTATAATGCAATGTGTGTCTAACCATCTGTTGGCATCTCCTTTTCTTTTAAATTGCCGGTTTTCTAGAAAAACAACATTGAATAAGTAGGAACAGGTCCTTTGCCGAAACTGAACCACTGATGGTATTTGAAAATGTATTGAAAAACTGGAATTTACAGAAAATAAACGTTTACAAATACATGTAACTGTCAAACAATCAAACCACAGAAAGTTAATAGTATAGTTTACTATGAATTATTTTATGTGAGTATAATTATATTGAGAAATAAACCATTTAAGTCTAATCCATGATGGATGGACATTTAATCGTAAGGTTCTTGTAAATGGTAATTCTATAATACTTGTTATTCAAACAAGGAAATAAAAATTTAAATAAAACTTGTTAATGTCTAAAAAAATAAAATATAACAACCCAAAAACACAAATTGTGTATCTTGTTGATAAAAGAGATTCTTGATATGATTATGCATCTGATTATTTATCATAATAGTAAAAAAAACTGTACAGTGTCAAACAAAAGTAGCTGCATGTTATAATAAACAGTTGTTCAAAACAATAAGTTATAAATAAGTTGAAACATTTTTATAGAGTATAATTGCAATAATCGTTCATTCTATACTTGTTATGGCACTGTGACTTTCATTATGTTCTTTAAAAATCTTTAAAAATCTGGATAGATCGCAATCAACATGGAAATAACTGACTTAGCCAGCTGATGTGAATTTTATATGCAAATGTTTGTATAAAGACGTGAATGTTACATTTTTTAAAACACATGCTTACGTATAAACACATACGTTTACACATTAATATGTATATGTTTGCATATAAACGCGAATATTTACACGTAAATGCAAACATTTTTAAATATTAACGTGAAATAGAAATACAAAAATTTACATATCCACTCGAATGTTGACACGTAATGCAAAAATTTTACATATAAACGCAAATGTTTATACTAAAACGTGCGTGAATGTTTACTCGTAAACGTGAATGTTAACACATACATGACATTTACATGTATACATATTCAGAATATCTATCTCCCGCTTTTTCTAATTTGACATGTACAACTGGGTTGTTAGACTGCACATGGCTGTTGGAGTAGGCTGAAGCTGTGCTGCCAGACCTCACATAGTGCTGGTCACCCATTGCGTAGGTCTGGTTTGACATGGCTAGTTGATCTTTGAGTATCACTCCGTGGTTTGTAGTATCTGTTGGATAGTACACCATTTTTCCAGCTGGTTTAACATTAGCATTGGATTGCCAATTGTTATATGCTACGTTATTACTCTGAAATGAAAATACAATGTAAACGATGTACATAAAATCATCAGAAAACCAAGTATTTGGAGAATAATGCATATATTGTACGTGAAAAACAAAAAAGCAAAAGGCCATTATTCTGCAAAAATTATCACATTACAAAATCCTGATGAAGTACGAAAGGGCACTTGAAACTGGTTCTTCTATGGCAGTGTGGTCGATATCCCTAATGCCTTGATGGTGAAACGTTGGAGCTAACCAAGAACAGATGCTTAATGCCTAACTCCTGATTACATCTTTGAAAATTATGTCTTGAAATTCTTTGCTTAAATTCATGATAAAAAATGAAAAATCAAGATTTGAGGTGATATTAATTGCACGGAAAATACAACTTACGTAAAACTTATTTTTATCTTCTAAGGTTGACTCCTCCGCTAGGTGGCGCTTTGTAAATGTACCAATCACTAGCAGTACAAGGAAGAGAACTCCAGCAATTGTGATACCAATGATAATTTTACCAACAGTCCCGATAGCTTCTTCTTTCTCTTCTTCTTCAGGTAGGTCCATGGTATCTCCAACTGAAAGAAGATCCGGAAAAAATATAACTTATTCTGAAAAAAAATTTCTTTAAGGAATAATCGTAATAATTGTAGCCCGTTTTAGAAAAAAACATGTCAGTTCGGTAAAAAATGATAATTATCATTTATTTTTTTTTTCAGCTTGTGAAACATGTATTTATCTTTTTTTAAATAAAATATGTGCCGGTATAATATATGTGACGTTTTGCTGTAAAAGTGTGCTTTTATTCTTACTCGCACAAATGTATATAACCGTGTATTATGTTCTGCCTGTTAATGAACGTGATATAATACAAACCTTTTGAAAATAAGGTTATATTTTTTTAATTTGAAGCTGTTTTGAAAGTAATGTTACTCATTATAAAAGCAGAACAATAGCAGCCTTACGTTTTTTCGGATCCCTGACCGCGTAATATGTCGGGCTGAACACGTAACCCCCGCCTTGACCCTCTTTTACAAAGTCCTTAACAATATCTGTGACGTCATTTTTCAATGTTTCTTCGATAGCGGCCTCGGTAGCTCCAGAACGGCTGACGTCAACTGCTGCGTCACAATAAACGCTGCCTTGTCTAAAAATATAAATAAATAATTGTAAACATGGTAATTTCTTTGTGAGTTTAAATTTTAAATTATCTTTAACTTTAAATTAATATTGACAAAACAAGTTAAACTCAATGCTACATTTTTGTTTTTATCAAAAATACATGTTGACGTGACGTCATTTGTGTTATACAGACATAGCTTTATAAAGACATCTTAAATGTTAGCGTGACGCTTTAGGCTCGACAACGAAAACGGATTCTTTTTCATTTTAAACAGTCTTTATTTTGGGTTTTGTAAATAGAGTATTATATATTACTAAATTTAATGAACTCGTTGAATAAAGTAAGTCCTAATATTCGCCAGAGGCCCGCATAATATAATTTTATTCAACTCGTTCAATAAATTCTGTACTGAATCTAATTTCCTTTAATATCCATCTGTGAGTTTTCAACAACATTAATTAAAGTATCAACATTAATATTAGTACTTATACACCATAAGTGATATTGTTATCAGAGCTTATTATCGTAATTATGAAAAGTGTTCACTATAGGTACGGAATAGTCTAACCCGGTACAAGTATGTTCTAAACCTAATAAAAAAATAATGGAAATGTGTTTGTAATATATCAAGTCTTATTTAAGAAGAAAATCTGTCATATACCAATTTAAGAAGCACATAAACTCGTTCATTTATTTACGAAAAAAGTTAACACGATTAAAGTTATAATGCAATCTCAATTTTTTACTTTTTAAGCTAAATTATTTTACGGTGAAAAAAAAACTAGATCTATTTAATTTACTGGTTAACGAAATTGTTAGGGGTATATAAAACGAACAACTTTACAGTAAAAAAAAACAACAAAAAAAAACAACAACAAACAAGCAATTATCATAGTATTGCAAGCAATCCATAAGTCCCCTACCGGTAAGAGCCCCAGCAACATTCTGAAGGGCCATTGGCCATTCACTTATGTTTCTATTTTAAGTAAATTTGTTGAAATGAAAAAGGCCATCCTAGAAAGTGTGGAGCAAAGAGTTGGGGTTCTAGAGGGAGAAATTCATGAGTTGGCAGTACAAAATGATAAATTACACAATGAATTAAAGGGAAAAACAAAAGAAATAAATCTTTTAAAAGAAAATGCAACTGACTGTGCTAAACTTAAAGAAAAAATAGTCAATCAAAACTCAGAAATGCAAGCCCTGAAAGAAAATAACCAAACAATGAGAGATAGACTTAACAGAGAAATTAATTACAATGAAGGGGCGCAAAACGACGCAGAACAATACAGTAGAATGAACAATATTCGTTTATATGGCCTCAAAGACGACGATCCCAAACAGACATCGAGCATGACAGCTGAACTGGTAGTTACTGAATTGAATAATCAGCTGAAAATCAACCTCACAATGAATGATATCAGTATCGCTCACAGACTGGGCCGATATCTACCGGGTAGAACCAGACCAACAATAGTGCAGATTGTTAGCAGGGAAGTAAAGGGAACAGTTATGAAAAATGTGAAGGAATGTCGATAAGTCATGACTTAACCAGGCTTAATCAACAAGTTTTACAGTCTATTAGACTCAAGGATATAGATAAAGAAGTAGACGATGTTTGGTATTTCAACAACGGAAAAATCTTCGTCAGTAAAAGGGCTCCAGGAAAAAACGGCAAACTTGAGAACCGAACTTTCCAAATCAAACAACGTGACTTTGCGTACTGGTTTACGGAAAGATTGGCCGGAGAAACGTAAGATAGAACAGGAAAGCAGGTACGGCAGACAAAGTGACAATGTCCATGACTATAAACAATAAAAAATGTACAATTATAAGATAATGAATTTCAGCTGTAAATGACTATTACACTTTTTAGATGACGAAATATGTTTATGTTATATGCTGTGTTTTTGTATTTAAAATTGACTTTAAAATTATGATTTAAAAGTTAATAAGTAAAAAAATATAACATGAATACTATGTAGTAAAGATATCGCATATTTAAAATCATGAGTACACGTGTACTATATCAAATATGTTTAATGAGAATCTTATGTAAATAAAAACTTTAACAATATATCATAATATTGAACTCATTGACTGTTTTATGTATCCGGATATCTATCAGTCTTAACTTTCAAAATATGTTCTATTTTTTATAAAACGATAACATAATTATGAAGCAGACGACAAATTTATATGCAGACGACATTTTTGCGATAGTATTTTTTAATGTTAAAAATCTTAAAAGAAATATCATTTTGATATTAAGAATTCAAGAATCACTGTTCATGTTTTGTACACTGTAGTTCAAAATGTTGTTGTTGTTTTTGTTTTTTTCCTTGTTAGAATTACAATGAATCATTTAATTATACACTATATAGATCTACGTTGAAGTTGAAATTTTTTCCCTCGCTGCACGCAGAATTGTATATGCGTTTGCTATGATGTTTACATGTTCTATATTTGACCATGATTATTTGTATGTAGATTTTTGGTACTGATTCCCCATGTGCATAAAAAACTCATCAGTTAATTAGTTAAAATAAAATATCTTTACCTTTAAAGTCTGTGTCGATAATGAGCCTATATATATTTACTTAAAGGCACATTGTGCCTCAGAAAATTAGAAACATTTATGTAGCATAATGGGCCTTAAAAAAAAACATGGATTCGCACTGGGGTATAATTACTTCCCCTTGACTGATATATTTTTTTTCATACATGCTGTTATAAGAATAATGAAAACAGTAAAAATAACAATGAACTTTAAATGGCAGAAATAAAATTCAGGTTATCCCGTTGTGTAATTATGTACATGGAAGTCTTGTAAGAACTTTGCATATTTTTTTTCGTTTGTTGTTGATGTTGTTTTCCTTTTTGAGTATTCTTTTGTGTGTCTTTTTTGTCATTGGTTAAAGTAATATTTGATACTGAGATACTATGTCATGAATTAATATTAAAATAGTGAATGTATCAAAGATATATTAAGATTATAAATTCTACTGAGTATTACATGAATTTAATATACCGCATCAAAAATCACATATTTTCGTTTCTGAGGTGACAATTGGTGTTTATATTGATAGCTGTCATTAATTTTTTGGCCCGTATTGCACAGTTTGTTAGTGGTAGAATAATTGCTTTATATATTCTTCCTAAACGTTTTCGTCTTTCGTTTTTTTTTGGTGCTTCGAAGAAGAAAAATAGTTGCATATATAGTGGTCACTGTAAACAATAAAATATCAATCAGGTAGTTTTATCATTATTCAAAGTATGCAATACATATTGTCTCATTTTGATAAAAAAACTTGTTTTTGTATTTAATATCTCCTATATGGTTCCTATTTTTGAATTCCAGGAAAAGATGAAATATTTGTTTGTAAATGCTATGTTACTTTTTTTTCACGTCCTTGTGTTGTTTGTTTTCTTGTACATGCCTGGCCAGGGCAATCAAAACGAAAAGTATTTTACATCTGTACTATTATATTTTACAAACGTTTTTTGTGATAATTGAAACTTACAGTGGGTGCCCTTTTTTAACGTGGTTTTATGGGAGGCCTTAAAATATTATCTCTAAACTGTAGAGGTTTTAAATGGTATATAAAAAGCGGAAAGAAGTATTTTCGTTTTCTAAAAGAAAATAAAAAAAGTCTGATATTTACTGTTTGCAAGACACTCACTTCACTTTAGACATGCAAAAATCTATATACGCTGAATGGAACTGTGAATGTTACTTTAGCTATGGAACGTCCAATTCAGAGCCGTGAAGCTATTTTATTCGGAAAAAATATTGAATACAAAATTAAGAACACAATTATTGATAAGAATGGAAACTACATTTTTTTAGATATGACCATTTATGATAAAAACCTAACACTTGTAAGCATTTATGGTCCAAGTTCTGATCAACCGCAATTTTTTATGAAGAAGTTTTAAATAACGTAAGAAAAATTAATAATGAATATTGTATAATTTTTGGGGGGAAATATAATTTGGGCATTGTTTCCGAAAATTTGACTTTTTACAATTAAAAAAAGGTTAAATAAAAAAAATGAAAGGAAATAACAAGGAAAAAAGTATATCCTGAGCACTGTCGGGTTGATTTTTTTAAGAGAATTTTTTCCCAAGTAAACGGCGATCACCTGCGACAAACCCGGGCCCAATTAAAACGGGCAAATTAAAAATTAAACTTTTTAAAATATCTAAGCTTGCAAAAATTTGAAAGGGGAAACCCTTTATTTAATTGAGGGGCCAATTTTAAATCAATAAACTCTATCATAACACTGAAATTGAAATTTGTTTGACTTTAAACATGGAAAAAGGGTCTTTGGAAACATAATAATTTCTTTTTTAAAAAGACCTAAAATATCTTGAAACAATAAATGGGGGGATAGATAAGGATAAAAATGCAATACCCCTCTAGGGGGTTTTAAATGTTGAAAATTTTAAAAAATTTTCCAGATAATCCGAAATTTTTTACAATAAATGACCACCCTTATTTTAGAAACTTTCTTTTTAAAAAAATTTTAGAGGGAAGTCAAAATTTAAAAGGTTATGAATAAATAACCAAAAAAAACACAAAAAGGGTCAATTTTAAAAGAAATAAGTTCTATTTGAAGCAATTTATCAATCAAAATTTTGTTTAGACTGCTTTTTACAAAGGAAAAATTTATCTCAGATAAAAAAAAGAACGACTTCAGGTTTCCCTTTAAGAGATAAAGGGGTAAATTACCCCATTGAAGGTAAAAAACCTACAAACATATTTTTGGAAATTTAGAAAAAATTAATTACTTTTCAAAAAAAATTTTATAGAGTTAAAAAATAAAAAGGGGAATTTTAATTGAAAACCGGGAAAGACATTTTAAAAAAAACAAAAAAGATATTATGAAGCTCTGTTCAAAAAAAGAGAATCTAATGAAATAATTGATTTTAATGATTTTACATATAGATCTAATATTAATAATAATAATAAACTCACAGATACAGAAAGCCAAAACTTAGAAGGTGAAATAACTTATCATGAG